CCATGAGTATGGGGCATCATGACTCAAAGAATGACCCCCTCGAAAAATCATTCGAATATATTAAAGTGTGTTCCTCAAGTCTCCGTATGTTTCCGTGCTCCAATAAATTACAATATGAATCAATTTTCTGCATTTTTGAATGTGAGAAAATGTAGGAACTTCAGAAATTTAAATTTTCCGGTTAAATAGGTGCACACCGTAACATATATTGTAAATCGTACCATGTCCCTAAAAAAGTTACAACTTACTGAAAGAACGGACGCTTAAAATGTTTAGAAACACCAGAAGATACCATATGTGAATAACTTGGGCAAATAAGGTATAACGAATTTGCCTATGGACAGGATTTTATTTTAATTCAAAATACTATGTTATAATGTGAAATAATCCAGGTGTGTTTTCAAAACAGAATAAAATTCCTGACAGTTCATCTTTCTTCTTTTCGTGTGTTCGGCCAATTTTAACCTGATTCAAGTCATTCAGGATGATGCCACATGTCTAAAAATGGAATAAATCTTCATTATTTAGCCAGTTTCCTTAACAAGAGCGAACGACGGCCAATTATTTGGGTGTGGCATATTTCTTACGGAGGACAAGAGCAAGCCCATTCATGAATTATGGTAGGACTGCGCAATGCATATTTCGTAAGTGGGTAGCAATGCATTGTGAAAATTTCTTTTCATATCAGTGGTTCAAGCTTATCAGTAAAAGGGAGGGTCGATGGGATTCATATACAAATTTGACTCAATCCTTATCTGTATTTCAAGCCTATAGATAAAGTATATACTTTATTGAAATTACATTTCCTGGTGCAAAATTCAGGGATTAATTTTTTTGGTTGGTCAGTATATTTTTGACAATCCATGTCAACTGATTTACAGTTGATTATATGAATTGGCCTTATACTTTTGAAGAATTGTAAACGAATGGATTTTTTCACAGTTTTCAAGGTTTTCACCAGCTAATTTACCACGAGAACTCCTTGAAAGAATGACAACTTTTTCAGGATTGATCTAATTTTTTATTGCAACAATTTTTAAGGGAGTTAGATTTTAATTTATTCGGAAACCATTGAATAATGAGGCATGTTGAAGTGAAATTACTTCTTGTATATATTCTGGTTAAAATTATGTTCAACCTTTAGCTGCATGGTTAAAAATTTTTTTTAAATGTCGATTTGGATGAATCTATGAGTATCGGAAAATTTTTATTTCTGACCATACTGTAAATATGACTGAATTCATAAGAGGACAAAACGCTCGTCGGTGGAACTGTTTGTCACAGGTTTTCTGTTTTCACGGTAACATTACAAGGACTAACGATTTTTTTTAATGAAAAGAAAACTTTGAAGTGCCTTATGCAAATGTATTCTATTTTCAAACAAATCACACGCTTTTTGTGTCGGAAAGATCGAGAAGCCCCATGGTTCCATTAATAAACGTTCCGGCTCGTGTAATCATACGCGTGTTCAGTCTTTTGCGCTGCTCTAACGAACCCAAAAATTAAAACGGTTTTTCGAGTGAAAGGCGTAATTTTCTTCAAACGAAAAAATCCGCATCGGTTTCCCCGGTGTTTTCAAACGCATCATTTAGCAAAGGCGGATTTTAAACGTGAAATTTACTTCACGAGCGAGCATTTAGTGAAACTGATGGGGCTTAAACTCACAGGTCAAAGCTTCTGCTGAAGTTTCACACGTTAATTCAATTATATCTTTCAGAGGTTGATCAAATAAAAAAAAAAGTTTTCTTCAGTAAGTGATTCGCAGAAAAGCTCATTCTTGTTTCCCACATTAAAAAATTTGGCGATGCAGAAAGTCACGTTTCGTATTGATTTGACATATTTTAGGGTTTATACAGCATTTTTTTCAACATTTTTCAGGTTTTTATGTATCTAAAATGGCCCCAGAGTAGATGTGAAAAGTTCAAAGATGTCCAGAAGAATTGCTTACTCGTGCATTTTTGGAATGCAAATACAATACACATTATGCATCCGCACATGATGTGCAAAAAAGTGAGAATTTGGGTATTGAATGTCTGACGTTTGTTTGAATATCTTATGTTATCATAATGAGGTTGAATGCCAATGATGATCAGTATTCAACAACAAAATATGTTTCCTTACATCTTCCGCTCGATTTTTGCTTCAGTTGTGTTTTTTGGCAGGAAAAAACTATGAAATTCATGAAGATGTCGCAGTGTTCGACGCAAAAAAGTGATCATTGTCAAACTCGTCACGGTATAAACATGATGTTGCTTATTTCAAGCAAAATGCAGAACAAAGTGGAAGGAATCACGACAATCTCATTTCTCCATCATGTATTCTCCAGATCTCGCGTTTCAGAAGATTTGTTCTTCCTCAGAAAAATGAAGACAGGCTTCATTGAACTCCGCAACCTTCATTGTTTGACGCAAACAAAGCAATAATCGTTATGCTGCTGGTGACGATGATGAGCTAGCTGTATATTCAGATTGAATTCGAAGCATTTCCCTATTTTCCAGTTCCTGCTTTTCATCTTTGAACTGGCTTCGAGATCTCCTTTAGTCCTAGAGCCGCTAAACCGGAAGCCGAGGAATTCATCTTTCCTCACGCTTCGTAAACACCATCGCATTGTGATTGCTTCCGGAATAAGTGACGCGTAAGTGGAATGCAAATTTTGAAGCGAATTGTGCGGATCAGTGCATCGAAAGGTTTGCCATCAGTTCCTGAGACCTCGTTCTGCATTATTTGCTCGCATATCACTCTGTTGGTTTATACCAGAGGAAACATAATATTCTCTTGCTCGTGCCTTTTTATTGAGCCATTTATATCCTTTCAGGTGAATGTGAAAGATCAACAAATGACGTCAAAGGAAACCCAAGATAGGCTGAAAAAGCACCGTTTTCTAGAGAAATCCTGTCGATAGGCTATAATTTAACCTATTTTCCTCCGAAAACGCGGAAGTCAATCGAAGCTGGTTTGGAGCAGAAAAATAATCCCATTTTATTCGCAATCACGCAGATTGCTCTTCACGTGTGTCCAGAGGGAAAAGTTAATCTAGAAAATGGAACCGAAATGTTCTTGTCAATCTAATTCGTTGAAAAAAAGGGTTTAGCAGCTCAGTATAGTGGATCGCAGGTCATCGGTGTGAATTTTTATGCGCTAGATTTTAGATTGTAAAACAAATCGGCAGGGATGTGTATTCATGAGGTTCTTTCCTGAATAAGCAGTAAAACGGGGAAAGCCGTGATTGAACTTTCTCCAATTATTGAGGTCATGTTTCCTTACGACTTGGGAGGCTGTTTAAATTTCCTGCAGGTATATTTACATATATAGCGGGTTTATTGACATTCAATTTATCTGTCCGATGAACAGATGTCCAAAATTTTATCGAAAATTATCGTTCTTAATCCTATGGAACTTTTATTTCACTCTTGCATCAGACGAAAGTCGAAGAAATTTGAAGCCAAATATTGCATTTCATATGAATAGGGAGTCATTGTCTTGTGACTTCGAATGTTCTGGATGAGAACCATTTTAAAAAAGTTCAGTCTCTCTGGGCAAACATTTTTTTTTTCGAAAAGAGGAAAAAAAATTAGGAAAATTTGAAGAAACGACTTGTAATTTTTTGACGATCAACAAATTTAAATTATCGCGCCCTTCCGTAGTTCCTTAATAATCGGATTAAGGTGCTCCAATGTCTCGTTTAGAAAAGAGAAACGTTTGAAAACACACGATCACCTATGTTTAAAACCCACAAAAACAAAATGCAAAAATCACGCAGGAATTCACCCTATCAAATTCCTGGCCTTTTTCTTCTCGAAGTGCATTAAAGATGCGAAGTTCTGGAATGTTGGATTATTGCTTGGGCAAAAATAATTTCGAAGAGCTTTCAAGCGAAAACTTGAATTTTTATTGTCACTGTTTATTCATAATAAAATTTTAATGTAATCGGCATTTTTATTCAAGGGTCAAAAGCTTGAACCACTCAACTAATAGGATCTTCCAATAAAAAAATCCAACTTTGAGTTATCAGGGAGCTATTCAGATTTAAAACCTATTACAGTTCCAAAGAACTGATCTGAAAGACGTAGCAAGCAAAAAATGGATTAAAATATGCGTACAGTATATCTGCTCACAAAACTCTTTGCGCCTTTCCCAATTCTTTCTGCACGTGGCCTGATGTTACATAAAGCACGTACTGCGACCATGTTTTCAACTTTCACACGTGACAGGATCATTTTTCTAGTTTCACTTTCGAAGAAAACATGTTTGTATGGCACGCACAGCACTATTAAAAATTATGGTTGTTTTCCTCAGCTTTGGGCGTATTAGTTCCTTGAACTGAACCGATTTTCTTTTGCAACCTGGTTAAATGCTGTTCCCACAACAGACTCATGTTTATCATGTTGATTTTTATTCAGACATCGTTCCTCAAATCTGAAGCTACATTTTGGCTTTGGTAAATAGTAACAGTTGAGAATTTACTAAATTAACTCCTTCTCTGATATATTTTTAATCAAATCTTCGTCATTCTCTGGTACAAAGTTTTTGTTGAAACAATTTCATTGGTTCGAAATGTGAACTTTTTCAGAGTAAGTTTTTCAAGGACAAATGGCTGAATGAAAACAAGGAATTAAGGAAAATCGATTCTAGAAAAGTTCCGCTCTGAGGCAAAGTTCACACAATCGGCATATATATTTTCCTGAAATTTACCATGTTTGGCAAAAATAAGAAAAATCCAGGAAACTACAAATTGGAATGCGCATCTGCATACACTGCAGTATAAGTTCCGCTTAAATTTTCAAGTTGAAAATGTTTACGAATGCCTTAAATTGGCTTAAATTGTAGTTGGTACTCACAAGAATCCGATAATGCATCAACTATGAAATTAGCAAGTTTTTTTCTTTTGAAAATATGCATTTCAAGTTACATCCGCAGTTTAAAACCGGATGAAGTTCTTCTGAAAAAAAAAATCCAAATGGCTCATATTGATAATCTTGGAATGAAAAAAATTGGACGCATTTTAGAGCCGGTAAAGTGTTTTTATTGCTTCACTCGTACACAACAACAAAAACCGGAAGAGCACACGGAAGCAATTTACGAAAAGCAGCTTCGCGGCAATTTTTCAAATTTTTTTTTACCTCAACATAAAAATGTTCTTCCAATAATTGGAACATCCTTCACATCCCACCGCAAAACTGCGAAACGGATCTTGACGACACGACAACAAATTCTGCGATTTTCTGCAGCAATACAATGAAAAAAACACACACTTGGGAACGACGAGCAATCAAACCGAGCTCTCCAATTTTTACTTTCAAAATGTTCTCCTTCTTTTCGAATAAAGCGAACACTGAGCTTTTCCCAATCACCACAAGTCGCATGCATTCACGCGAATGCTTTCGAATTTCTTTGGCGTGAAATCATTTTACCTCACGCGATCAAAATTAAATTCCCGGGGACTTTCGTGCAAAAAAATATTCCGAGACTCTCTCACCAAAATCTGAAGAATTCGTTGACAAAAAAATATTCACCAATCCTCACACGAGGAAGCATTTCCACCGTAGCGAGCAAGAATTTCGGGACGTTTTTCAATCGAAAACATTAAAACAAAATACTTTTTCTGAAGATCTGAAGAAAATGAAAATACCGTAGTAAAATTTCAATTCGAGAATGCAAAGAGTTGTGGAAATTTCGAGGCATAATTAATTGCAATAGTTTTAGTACAGAGAATTCATTCCCGAAATATTTCTCTCACTTCTAGAAACGGAATTCGTCAATGTAAAAAAAAAAACATGAAAAGCAATATTCAAGTAACAATAATCTATTAATTTGATTTTAAATTGACGCTCATTCCGAAAAGTCATTCTAATGGTCCCCAAATTATTTCCTTGTTAAGAATTTACTGTATCATGTAATGGATTCATACTCGGAATAGTTTTTCCAGTCTTCAAAAAAAAAAAAAAAGTGAAGTCGTCCCTCGTAAGAATAAAAAAAAAAAAAAGAGACGGCTTTCTTTGTCTTTCACCAGCAGTTGCACGTATCAGGAAGATCTCGTTCAAAGTGAGTTTTCATTGAATGAATAAATAAAATTAAAAAAAGGTGATGATTATGCACTTTTAGTTGATGATGCAGGAATTACGTTTGCGCTGGAAATCCCGGCGCTTGGGGTGGTCGGAGCAGACGGGAAAAGAGCGCCGGCGCCTTTCCATGGCGCCGTCGTCCAGATCCAGTTCCAGTCGGGATTGTTTGAGCAGTTCCCGGAAGATGTCGGCCACGTGTTGGCCACTGAGAGCCGACGATTCCACGAATCCGTGCTCCCAGTCGATCGTGACGATCGTTTCGGCGGTGATGGACGCCACTTTCTGCTGGCCGGCGGCGCAGTCCGTCTTATTACCCACGATTACGATGGGCACTGGCACGTCGTCATCGCTGCAACGTGCTGCCAGGATCACGTCTCTCAGTCTGCGAACCTGAAGACAAAAAGAAGAATTTGACAATGTCACATCAAATACTGTATATCCTTAAGCCATGCCTGCTGCAGAATTCATGTTTAAATCTACTTTAGGTTATTTAAATACTGTAATTAAGAAAACGAAAAGTCAATATTTTGGTTAGTGTTTAAATGTTTAAGAGAACGAAAAGTCAATACTTTGGTTAGTGCCTGAGATGGTGCTGGCTCATCTGGGGTCCCTCCACATGCAGGGAAAAAGGGGAGGGATGCACCAGGGTTTAGGAAAGAAGTGGCTGGCCAAGGTTGCCACCACCATTGCTTTTTTTGTTCCTTGTTGCTGGCTATAAGGTCTCTATGTTCATTTTATTTTACAGCTGGCAACACTGGGAAAATTGGTGGGTTTGTGTGCTTCCCTGATGCAACCTATATAGGGGTCCACGCAAATTTTGTTCTTCTGGAGCAGCTCTTCTTTCATTTTTATTTGATTTCAAAGGTGGAAACTCCGCAGCATTTTTTGCTTCAAGTTGGAGATATTGCGTTGCTCTATTTTTTGGCCATTTTTGTTGTTGAAGTTTTCCTGTTGCCTGATTTATATGAAATAAATTGAGTATTGAGTTGGATGTCTGTGTGGAAGGTTCTCCTCTCATTGTGAATTTTACTTTTGTTGCCTCTTCTGCCCTGCTGTGTGGTGTCATACATTGTTGTTGATAAAATTAACATCAAAGTGTTCAGATAATTAAAAATTTGGGAAATTTTTTGGAATTCAAAAATCTGCAATACATGCCCTAGGCCATGCCGGGCCCCATTTGGGACCCGTGGGTTTTGCACCAGGCAACAAAAATAGTTATCCCCAAAAATTCTTAATCTTAATTTACTTCACAGAAAAGTTGACTACCAGTTGAAACCTCATTTGGCTAAATCTGTCCATGTTTAATTGTACAGGAAAAAATTTTCTGAACCCATAACTCACAAATTTCAATCAAACATTGAAACAATTTTTAGATTGGAATAAAATTACTTTCTACTGCAGCTAAATTCAATAATTTAGGATTTCTTGATGCAGCTGTACACAATTAGATGGGGCTTGTCATGAGCCCAATTTGGAGATCAAACTAAAATTTACAATGTATGAAAAAATTGGCTTTAAAATAAAAATGAAAATTGTTCCAGCCTATCTGGGAGGTATAGTGAAGTGAAATCAAGCAAAAACGAGTTTCGGGAAATTTCGGCAGTTGATCTGCTTGTTAATATGAATTTACACAAACACTGCGAAACATTATTCACGACGACAAAAAAGAAAATTGTGGGCGGTTTTTAGAAAAAAATCAGGTCAGCTTCTTATAAGAAGGGCCACGGCCCAAGAAGGTCGAAGCAAGTAAACAGATTTGTCTTAGCATTATGCGATTATCGTGCTCATAAAGTTCTTCCATCATTCGTATGCCATGACATCTCATCAAAGGATTTAGGTACCTAAGGACCCTTTTTGAATAAAATCCTTCCATCTCTGGACTAGACGCACGTCATAATTGAAGTGCCCTTGGAAGAAGGACAGTTTGAAGCTGATGCAATTAATCTGTTGACTAGCTTTAATGTTGGTTAGGATCTCGATCGGTTTATCCAGGGTGGCTGAGTTCATTTATGAATTCATTATTTGCAAATGAAACGATATTAACCAGCATATACTGTATACACACTTACAAACACATACAAATCTGTGATGTTTCTGAAAGAATAAACAGACGACATCTATTTTATTTGCTCATGTTTATTGAATAATTTTTGATGCAGGAAAATAAGGAAAGGCGAGAAAATTGTTGTTTTTGGCTCTCTCGTCGGCAAGGAGATTTTAAGTTTGAAGTGTGAATACTATTTTTAATGAATTAAATCACTTATTGAAATACTGTGTACTGTATTTCACAATCAGTTGATACATACTGTATTTCCAAGGTGGGACAGTAATAGGTCTCATTACAAAAAATCGAATTATGAAAACTTCGTGTGTACAAAGCATTTTTTGACGGAACTTAGTATCTTTTTAATAAAATATCCAGAATTTTCGTTCATTTTTTAATGAAGGAAGATTTTTCGATATTACGTCATGATATGTTTTATAAAATTCAGAATTATTTTGGAATTTCTGAAGAAATTTTCCATATTACTACAGATACTTTGAATATATTACCAACTTAATACAACTTCATAATATTGCATTTATAGGTGATGCAATTTATTATTGAACTTCCCTTTGGAATGGATATAATGATTTGAATCTTTTACGAAAGGGACTCAAATGTAGAGGTTTGAATAATCTATCTTTAAACCCCATATTTACTGTCAAATTTACTGAAGGGGTGCAGAAAAAAAATTGTTATTCACGTGCCAAATGATGACTTTCTTCATATAGCAAACAACTTTTTGCACTAAGAAAAACCGAAATCCAAAAATTTTTAGCCTTCGACTGAATCAATCAAGCTTGGATTTTTATTCATTCATTCTTTGATAAATGACTTTTTTTTTTAATATCCTGGCTCATCTGTATGCCTTTTAACTTCAGAAACTGAACTCTTGAAAGGTATTCAGGCATTGAAGTGTTCAGCTGATGACTTTTTGGACCTGTTCCGAGCATTGGAATAGATAAAGTCCATGAGAAAAAGGTTTTCAACGTATTTTCTCGTCGGAAACCTTATCTTTGATCTCCTAGAACACACAAACTGGAGCTGCATAGTCTGGGTACCCATACGTTGTCAAACATGTTTTTGTTGGGAAGAGATTAAAAAAAAAAAAAACTGACCTCTTCAAAGGACTCCGGGTCGGTCACCGAGTAGACCAGGACGAACCCATCAGCTCGGGCCACGTGCAGGGCCTGCATGGCCGGGAACTGCATCGAGCCAGAGGTGTCGAGCAGCTCCAGTGTCACTTCTTGGGCCTCGTCACCCACCAACGACATCTCCGTCGTGTGCATGTCCTCGACAGTCGGCTTGTAGCGCAATGGGAAGGAATCGTAGAGGAAGCGAGAAATCAACGCCGATTTTCCGACTCCTCCACTGCCCATGAAAACGAGACGATAGCGATCTTTGCTGAACAGTGTCGCTGTTGATGATGATGATGACGACGACGACGATGATGATGATGATGATGTCGATGATGATGATGAACTTGTTGTCGAGGGTGTGGACGAAAGAGATTCGGTGCTTTTCTGCACGACGGAATTCGCAGGCGACATTTTCCGCATCAGCGGCATCAAAAGTTTAGCCGACATTTTGGCTTTCTTTCGGGATTTTGCAACGAATTTCACCTTTTTTCCTGCAAAGACAAGGTGAATTGAAAATTAAATCATCTGCTTTATGCTCACCAACAAATTCAATGCACTAAAAAATCGATTACGACAGGAATTCAGAGAATTTGTTTTATGATTATTTTGGACATTTTTTTCCGGCAACTGTGTGAAATATTATGAGAAAGCCTTTAAAAACCCATACGGATAATTTTTAATAAAGAGAGGTTCATGTTAATAATACTAAAAGAAAACCGAATATTCAAAGCCTAACTCTAATTTAGGAGTACTTTCAACATGCTAGAGAAAACCACACTGGAGATGTTACTGCACAAAACTGGGCTTGATATTTTAGTACATCAGTATATACAGCAAATTTAATCCAATAAGCGAATTGTCTGCATTTTCAATTCTTGAGGAATGATTATACTGTCTCAAAAAAGAAGTAAATGGATTCGCAATTTATTCGCATGAAATACAGACACTCCGCAGTCTATTTATCTGCTGAAACTCATCAAGTTCTCTTCAAACAATCCCAACTGAGTTACGCAAGAAATTTTCATTCGAGGAGAGCAAAGCAATAAATAGTAAATCATGTTTGCAGTTTCCGTGGGTTGGTTGGAACAATGAACCGAGCTTTCCTTCGGTCTGTGCTTGTCTACTTCGGGATATCAAAGTCTCTTGATTGAGCACAGAAGTTCTAGGTCATCGTCACATTTTGATGACTCTGACAATACAAAGAGTGAAACTGTTCTTCTCCAAGACAAAGTTCCTCGGGGGGAAAGATGAGCACTTATTTGCACTAACTCGACGATTGCAAATTGAGTCTTCCGTCTGGCGGGGAAAGTTCGCATTCTGTGTAAGCATTTTATTTTTTATCTCCATCTCAATGTGAATATTCTTGAAATGAATGCAGAAAAATTCTCTCGATATGAAAAAATCAGGCATATTTTAGAAAACTTGAACTTTCAAATATATAGGAGAAATTCGGTTCCACGCAAAACATTGCAGCATGGACAGTATTAATTATTGTCTTTTATTGCGATCACGTTCAAAACGCAAAATATTAATCTACAAACTTGTATTTCCGTGTCTCGAATACAGAGGATTTTTGTCTTTAAAAAAAATACGATGTGTAGAGAGTGGAGAAAAATAACAAAATTTACACTCGAATTTCGCATAGGAGAAAAAAAGGTATAAGTGTGTTTCAGGCTGTTTCAATTTAATTATTCGTCTAGTAAAACCTTACGTTTTCATCGCATTAGTGCTATACAGCAGGTAATTTGCAGAAGGAGGCTCTGGAAACTGTTGTTTACCAGGTAGGAGGGAATGCGTGACCCACATCGGGTCATTTGGAAGCAGAATTGCGCAAAGTGATCTTGTTTTTCACAGACGAGGTCGAATCAACATCTCCTTGGCATCAAGGGTGAATAATGCGCTGTTGCAGCATGTGAATGCGGGTATTACGAGAACCAAACGAAGGTTGATTTTACCGTATTCATCATTAGGCGAGGAAATGTTTGCAAAGAGATTCCATCAGCATTAGAACATCAACGTTTATTTTACCCGATTAGCACTAGCTTTGATAGAAATTAGCTCGCATTTGCGAGATTATTCTTAATTCTTGATTTCCGTTAATTGCTTTAGAATCCAGTTATAATAGGTGGAAAAATATAATCAAAAATTGAAGCCACTTTTTTCAGCCAGGATATGAAAATGTTTCCTTCATGCGTTTTCCATTCACATCATGCACTTCTTTGTGAAGGCATTTAAATGTAAATTGTCAAAGAGATTAAATCCTCGGATGAAAAAATCAACAAAAATCTTGCTAACTTAAAATTGGCTGTGAAATTTCGCTTACTCATTTAATTTCAGCTTTATTCGTCTGAACACAGTGGCCATACATTTTTCATTTCGAGAACTACTGTATTACATAAAGATTGAATCGCAGGATTTTTAAAAGAAAAAATGTCTTAAATGGAGAATTCGGATGAATTTTTTTCGTCGTACATGCAAAGAATAAATTAAATTTGTCGCACGATGTGTTTGCGGGATTTTATATTATGTAGTAATTCGAAAGATTATTTTTCTGATTGTCAATTGATTGATACATTTTTCAGGGGTCAGGATTTTCCCCAGTGATTTGTTTATACAGTTTTTAATGAGCCAATGCTGGGTTTTAGAGGCCATGTTTTTTTTCTGCGTACATCAGACGCCTTATTTATGATTCAGTGTTGGAAAAAGATTTGGCATATTGAATAAATATAGAAGCGGAATAATTCTCAGCCTCAGATTTCAGACGTGTCTCAAGCAGAAAATGCGGATGCATTCTCCCCCCCCCCGCATTTGATTTCGGTTGAATAGTCATAGCAGTTCTCAGATGAGGAAATCCACGGAATAAGAGGAAATGCAGACTCAGCAAACGTGGTTAATAGGACTCATCTGCTTAAAGAGATGATGTGAACCCCCTGGAGGAATAATCTCAGGGCGTCTCTCTTTGTGCTATTTTTAGACGCGGCTGCAGAATTCACTGCTTCTGCCTCGGGCATCCATTCATGCTGCTGAACATCTGCAGGAAAGGCGTAATTTCGTCTCATCGAAAAGCCGACGACGCTATACTTTTTTTTTCTTTCTTTGTGGAATGTTCAAGTGGAAATCGCTTTTTCGAGAGAGGCCCTCGAGGATTTAAATTAGGGCTTCAAAGGTGAGCGAAGAGTTGAATCAAATCGATGTTTCATCAGAAAAGTCTGTTCTTTTCTTTTAGGTACATATATAAAAGGAGAAGGGAGAAATTTTCGCAGATGTCTGCATGTTTTCTCTAGGCTTGAATTTATTGACTTATTAATCCCGGTTACATTACTTGAATTGATCAGTGAGGTCCAGACAGTCGATTCCACTATATTTTTATTTTCGGAATTATTTCAAGAGTAGGTGGAAACTCAATACATAGATCCAATATCGGATTGGTATTTTTAAAGGATTCAGTAAGTATTATTGGCTTTCTCTCTTTTTTTCATTTGATCAATACAGTAGTTACAAAGCTCAAGAATCTTCAATTAATTCCAAGTCGAATCTTTAGACCTCGATCAATCGTTATTTTATAAAGTCACATTTTAAAAATAGTATCTCACTTCATTTTGCAGAATTTAAACCGGAATTCAGACCAAATCCAAAGATACAAAACATCATCGTTTGATCTCTGAGAAGTTTCAGACTACATTACTTCTGACCTAAGTAAAATAATTTTATTATACAGTTGTTGAAGACGTAGCATACGTGTAATTTTCAAAATTATTGGCAACACTTTAGTTCCGGGAAAGATTTTGTATGCTTAAAAATTTTCAAAAACTGATAAAATATTACATATAACGTGTGGCAAGTCGAATATTCGAGGACTTTAAATCTGAAATAAATTAGGAATTGAAAGAAGAATTCACCCGCACTCCTGATTGAAAATAGAGCATCTATGATTAATTCCAAATTAGCATAAATTGATTCTTCCAGTTGTAGCTCAAGACAAACGCTTCAATTTCTGCAAATTCTTTTTCACATTCCCACGCAGAGGAATACAGTATTCAAAAATTGGTTTGACGTTCATGTCTGGATTTAAAGTCGTTATGGATACGTCATTCAAAAATTGGCAGCATGAGAAAAGGTCTTTGATCCACATCTCCGCAGGAACAGAATGGATTTGTCTGAAAAATGCACCAGTTTCAACACAAAACGTAGAAATTCTCGTCAGCTCCGACAGCCGGAAACCTACGCTTCTTATTTTCCACCGAACCCGACAGCAAACGAGGATGTTTGCAGAAACACTGTCGGGAATTGGATTAAGGATATTTAGCGCGGCTTTTTTTCTCCGGAAGGAAATGCTTCCATCAAGAGGAAATGCAAAGACGCAGATACTTTTTTTTTGTTGCCTCTTGCCTCACGTTGATGAGCATAGAAGCTTCAGGAAGGATGTGAGACATACAGCTCTTTTAATGTGAGTGGAAACAAACGTGGAATAAAAAAATTTGCATTGCACTGTATAAGGAAGCGCACGTGTTTTTAGGTCGAAGGATTGAACTTCACCTGTTCCCAGTTCATGGCCAAGTTTCGGGACGGAATAATTTCCGAGAAAGAAAACGTTTTTGAAAAACCTCGTGTAGGTTTAATTATATTGTCTAAGTGCCTTCGAAATGGATTTGATGAAAATATAGAACGATTTCTTTAAAAAAAAGAACGGGAAATTGCGACTGATAAAATCAATGAAATCAGGTGTCGATTATTGCATCCTCGGAACTGAGATAATAAAATAAATCGGCAAACATTTTAAATTTTGGTCAGTTTCATTTTTACTTCTGATCCAATTTAATATTGAAATCTTGTCTCGGGTATTATTTTTCCCGATCTGTTGATCATATGTTTTTATTCTTTAAAAAGCTAACATTGAAATATACATCAGTACATTAAAATCGCCTTTATTATCGTGTCCTGAAAATCTGTAAAAAAAAATCTGAATGTTTATTAAAAGCGCTAAATTTTAATCTTTAGCGATGGGAATGAGAGTAAATAAAATGTGCGAAAATAAAGAACTTCGAAAGAAAAATTTTATGCTTTCGAAGCAGGTACTCGTATAATCTTTCAACATCAATTCGCCGAAAATATGACTAAAACGAATGCGAAGTTGTACCTTGAACATGACGTTTTAGCTTTAAACTCAGGAAATTATCAATTCAGAAAAAATTCGGCCAGAAATTTCGTACATTTCCGCACCTTTCAAAACAATGTTGCCGGTCCCACAAAGTTGAAGCAGTTGCGTGAATTATCTATGCATATTTTTTTTTCCAATCTCTCGGAACTAAACATCGTTCGATAGGGCAATCACGACAGGATGTAGACAGGAAACTACGTCAGTAACTTCCTGTTTCAGAGGAAAGAAACTCCATCTCATCGATTTTTACCAAGAAATGCGAGCAGGAAAAACTCTTATCGACATTCTC